GTGGACTGCCTCCCAATGAGGAGCTCCAACCAATCACATGCTCAGGGTGTCCCTGACATCAGCCTCTGGTCCAAAAGGCTGTAGTACTAACCTGCTGCTGTAACAGAGCAGACAGTGGGCTCCTCCAGAAATTGGCTCATCTGACCCAGTCAGCACCCTCAAGCTGAGCATTTGTCACTTCTGAAAGCTCTGCATTTTTTTATCCTTTGCTAGTCATTGTGTGGTGTGAAACGATTTCAGGAGGTTCTGGGTGCGAAAGCCTGAAGGAATAAAGGGAGCTCTGGATGGGTTTTATTTTGTATCCTATATCTAATAAATTCCATATTACCCAGAAAGAAAGAAAAAAGGCCAACAATGCCTGGTTCCAGGAATGGGTACCCAAAACATTCTCATCTCTCACCACTCATGGGGGTCAGGCACAGCAGGTAATAAGAGTATTCCTGGAAGCCACTGTTCCTCAGAAATGGCCAGCAATAATTTAACTCTAAAATAAAAATGACTACAAGCCACTTAATCCAAATGCATCTCTAACTCACTATCCTTCACCAGGATCCCAAAAGGTCTATGCTACTCCACCACCACCCAACACAAGAAGTTAGAGTGTACACTTAAAAAAATATGTTGCTGGTATTTTCATATGAATTCCATTAAATATATAGTTTAACTTAAAAAACCTGACATTTTCATAAAAAAAGTAGTTCTCTATGCACTCCATTCTCCAAAATGAATTTTGGATGGATGATAGGTATAATGTGAAAAATATAACTATAAAAACTCATATGGAAGAGTGAAGGTACAATACACACAAGAATAGCCATAGCATTTCTGAAAAAGAGTTTTAGTCAGTTTTCAATTTTCAGTAAAAAGTCTTTTGAAATTTTTGACACGAATTGTACTGAATTTATAGATTAACTAAGGAAGAATTAAATTGTGGAGCCATCTAGAGTCTTACTTTTTTGAAGTCATCTAGCAACATTAGAGCCTTAAAGTAGAGGGATTATCCTTTCTATCTGTCAATATTATAGCTAAAAAAAAAAAAATAGATAAATACCTTTAGCTGCTTTAAGCATTTTGTTAAAGCCCACACTTATTTTTTTTTAAAACTTTTGTGATTTTTTTTAAAAAAATCTTTGAGAGAGGAAGGGAGAGGGAGAGAGAGAGACAGAAACATCAATGATGAGAGAGTCATTGTTGACCGGCTGCCTCCTATACACCCCCAACTGGGGATCGAGCCCTCAACCTGGGCATGTGCCCTGACCGGGAATACACGCATGCCATTATGGTCAATTAATATTTGACAAAGGAGGCAACAACATACAATGAGTAAAGACAGTCTTTTCAATAAATGGTGTTGGAAAAATTGGACAGATATATGCAAAAAAATGAAACTGGACCACCAACTTACACCATACACAAAAGTAAATTCAAAATGGATAAAAGA